AGGGAATACTCTTAAGATGCTGATTTCCACAGCATGTTGCTATATTTAGAAAAAAGAGCACTTATGTTTGCATAAACTGAGAGGAAAAATATTTGCCTTTTTTAAATATTTATGTTCGAATTTTGCTTTTAACTGACAGTTGAGCAGTGATGAGCAGATAGAGAGGGAGGGCGGGTGGAGGCATGCAGCAGACGGCCTCAGATCGGGGCCGATCGGCAGCTGGCAGCAGGTTAGCTCCTCGACCAGTGAGCCAAACTGACACCCGAGGAAAAAGATCTTTCATCCAATGGTCACAGTTCAATAAATTATAATAAACAGCCCCCTCCACCCACAACACACACATCCATCCTCTGCACTCTTCTGTATCTTCTATTCTCTTTCCTTCTCCTTACTAAACTGACTAAGTGACCAATTTATTAGGTATACCTTGCAAATACTAGGCTGGACCCCCTTTTCATGTTTTAATGCAGATTTTCCAGCTGCACATCCACAATCTGAGTCCCCCACTCCAGCCCAACCCAAAGATGCTCTGCTGTGGAGGCCGTTTGAGTACAGCGCACTCACTGTCGTGTTCAGGAAACCAGTTTGAGATGATTATTTGGAAGCAGCCATCCAAAGATGGTCAGCATCAATACTCAGAGAGGCTGTGATGTTTAAATGAGGCTCAGTTGGTACAAAGAGGCCTAAAGTGTGTCAAGAGAGTATTCCCCATCTGACCATTCTCTTCTGAACTCTGGCATTTTCACTCAGAGAACTGCTTTTCTCTTTTTAAGGCCATTCTCTATAAACCCTCGAGATGGGTGTGTGGGGAAATCCCAGTAGATCAGCAGCTTCTGAAATCCTCAGACCAGCTCATCTGGCAACAGCAACAACAATACATTCAAAGTCACTTTAATGACCTTTCTTCTCCTTTCTGATGCTCAATTTAAACTTCACCAGACATGTCCCCATGCATGAATGCATCATTAATAATGAGTTCAACAGGTGTACCTAATTGGGCTTCCTCCTCGATGGGTAGCTGCTGTTCGCCTGAGCAGACCTCGCAATGTTTCGCTGTAAACCAGCTGTTGAGGTGCCGTTGGAGTAACGCTGTATGAATATGTTTTACGAGACTCGCATAAGGAGGAGCTTCTTCCCCCAGGCTATTCGGGCCCTGAACCAGGTGTAGGACTGTACTCTCCCACACACATCACATCACCACACGCACCACCACACATTTCCTATAATTTATAATCTTTATAATCTCTCTCTGCTGTTTGCACATTTTTATTTATTTTTATTTTTACTGTAAATTCCTAAGTTAATTTGTAAATTTTGTAGTAAATTGTAAATACTGTAAAACTTTTTTTTTCTGTCATTTAATGGTCGGGCATTGTGCAGCTACAAGCATTTCACCCCCATGTCATACTGTGTATGGTTGTGTGTGTGTGACAAATAAAATTTGAATTTGAATTTGAATAAGTGACTCACAGACTTTGAAGACTAGATGGACTCCACTCTGCGCTCACACTTAAATAATAAACAATGCCAACATATTTTGGAGAGGAGAACTATTCAGCAGATTGAAATATTACCCACTTATTCCTTCCAGACTTAGTTTGTGCCAGAATGTCTGTGATGGACCGAATTGAAAAACAGGAGGAGCCCCAGGAATTATTAGAAAAATATAATTTTCATTTATTTAACCCCCAAAAATTATATTTACGAAAGTAATAAATGTTGAGCTCATAAAAGATGTCAAAGAAACACGTGAACTCAGGCAAAGACTGCAACCTTAACAAACCAAATGACTGCCACAAACAACCATAACTGACCTAAAGCATGAAATGACATACAAGGGTATACATATATATAATGGCTGATCAGACCATTGTGACACATGAGGGGTAACAAACAAAACACAATCATAAATCACAAACGATGCAGCACAATGTAGTTTATTAATAAACTAAACACCAAAGAAGAAAATCAAAAACCCCATTAAACCCTAAACTCAAATATTTAATTAAATACAAATACTTTGTTTTTAAAGTAAAGAAAACACACATTCTCCCCTTCAGCAGGAAGTGGTGGTGTGGTCCAATTATCTTCCTTTGCATTTAATGGTTTCAAACCCTGGCTACCATCTTTTGTCCAGCAACGCCCAGGGATGATGGCAGGTAAGAAATAAAAAGACAAAGGTTAGTCGAAAATCAAAGAAATGAAGTAGTATGAATACATAAGTAAACTAAATGTGCGCGCTTACAAATAGAACAAATGTATCCAAACCAATCAATAAAGTTATTGGTAACTAAAATGTATTACTATGTTCAAATGAAGAATGAAAATACAGAAGTTACCGACTTTAGAGTGTGGCCGCGGGTTTGGCCATCACAATGTCCTAAAATGAGAGAAGTGAAAGATTCTTTTTATTCCATGTACACAAGTAACAGTTTTCATAAACAGTTTAGGGGGCACGCCTTGTCCTCTTCCTGCCTGTGGAAGAGGAGTGAGGATGTGAAAGACAACAGAACACAAGAAGGCACAGAAGATAGTTGTGGTGCACTTTCCAGCTCTTCCTCCCTAAGGAAAGCAAAGAATAGCACTGAAGAGAATCTGTGATCAAACTAGAGGGACTGGATGTCCACTAATCCACAGCACTGTTGTATTGTATGTATGTCCTGTTGTATGTGATATAGTATTGCATACAGTAGGCAATGCTTTGTTTCGTTTTCACCGAATGTGTTATTTTGGTACTGACAGTTTATGTGTTGGTGTGTTCAGGGCTATGACTGCTGTCCCGTGTGATTGAATAAATGTCATTTTGACACTGGAACTAAAGGTTCAGGGAGCGTTAGTCCCCGTTGCACACTAACTGTAGCTTTTCTGAAAATCCATCTTCAGGGTTGAGACCTTCAAAAACTATTTTTGAAGTCTTGTATTTCTAGCAGCTTTCTCTGTTTTGCCGCTGAAATCAGTCTGCCACGATGAACTCGAGGTGCACCATCTGTATCTTTATGCACTGCTGAGGGACTGAGAGGTTATTTATACTTAATCTGAAGCCCCAGCAAATTGGGCTTCCTTGTCAGCCGTAACATAACCGCATACACCGCACCGCGCTTGAGGCGTAATCTGTCCGGTGTTATAAACTAATTCTGCTGCCAGACTCACACAGCAGATGCAGTGAGAGACCTTCTGAAGGGCCTCCGAGGGACAAGTGTTATTAGCATAAAGGAAGACAGTGGTGCAGCTGTGCAAAGATGTGCCATCATTTGATTTTCCACCGCTGACTCTTAACAACCTTGTAGCAGTAATTCAACTGTGTACCGGCTGAGAACAGCAGGCTTTCAGTCATTTATAGAATTTGGGTCAGTAGACCTTCCTGTCTTTAACTTTAGTTAGAAAATATGGTGCACCATAAACCAGTTTCATAAACAAATGAAATCACAAGATTGTACTGGCCTCTCCACGAGTTGCAAACGAGCAATTATAGAATTGTTGATAATTAATGGCTGCATTAATGCAGCTGTGACAGTTAATAAGAAAAGCCCCCGTGGTTTGGTATCTTCTTCCAGTCACAATAGCTGAGAGGTCAGAAAATTAGACGCCAGTAACGATTTCCCCAAGAGGTCGTTTAACAGAGTGTGACTTTCAAAATGTGTCCAAAGGCCAAAAGCAGCCAATGGAAATGTCCCCTCGCAGCTGATAGTTTGGTACCAACATACATCTATGTGTCACAATGATTTATTGCGCGTTGGGATCTCGTACTAATAACACACACACACACACACACAGACAGACACAGAGAACAAACTCAGTTGAGTTAGCTGTGTAAAACAGGGATGTCAAACTCATTTTTCAGAGGTTTAACTCCACACTGACTTCCTGCAAAAATCTCAGTATAAGAAAAAGGAGGAACTTCAACAGCACATCTCACGTTTTACTTCATGATAAAGACATGCGGCTCTATTTCATGAAGGAAATCTGTCCGCATGACTCTTTGGGGCTTAATTGTTAAAGGTATACCTGTCAAATTACAGAAAAGGTTTTAGTAGCTCACACCACAGACTGTACTGTAACTAAAAAGAAGGCAAAGTTATTGTTAATTCACAATAAGGTCCTATTTTATTAATTATTTTAGCACGAGCATATTGTAAAGAGACAGAAATTTCTATAGTAGATTGTCACAGTCTGGCTGTGTTGCGAAAAAGGACTCAAGTGCAGACCAAAACTATGAAACGTGACGTGGATTAACAGAAAACAAGCAGTTTATTAAGGCTGGCAAAACAAATACAAACAAAGGGCATGGGTGAAACTAAATAATAACCTAAACTGGGTGAACTAAAACTAAAACATGAAAAAACCTGAAACATGGTGAACTGACATGGATACCTGAAGATGCGACGTGGACGAGCAGACGACCAGAGAAGGAATGACTGAAATCTAAACTAAAACTAAACACAGAACACAGGACTTCTTCAAAATAAAACAGGAAACATAATGAGATGCAGAAATGAGAACATGAACTTGACAACACAAGACACACAAACATGAAACACATGAAGGGCAAGGGAGACTTAACAGGGGTTAAAAACACAAGGGGAAACTAATAAGCAAATGAACTTAGATAGCCTAATGAACTTAAACATACCATGAACATCAAAATAAACTAAAACTCAAAACGCTGGGTCAAAAGACCCAGGATCGTGACTTAGATAGTGAAAAAACCCAAACTTTTCTGTCATTTAATGTTTATCTATTACTTTGGTGTACTGTGAAGAATGTTGCAGAGGTATTTCTCATTAGGAAAAGCTGTAAACGTTATGAAAACACAGTTAGAATTCCAAAATGTACGCCCTCCTTCATATTTTCCATGGAAGTCCAGTGGGCGAGATTGGAGTCTCTAACCGGATTTTTAGGTTTAACACACCTGATTTGAAAACACTTGATTTAAAACCTTCAGCAGCAAGAGACTCGGAAGTACACGAAACTCCAAAAGCATGTGAAGGCAGCACATCAAGTTGCTAGGTTGGTATCTTAGCAACCCCAGACGCCTGCGTTCTAAGACTGGACTTTTCTGGGGTTTTGAGACAGGTTTTGAGCTAGAACGATGGACGTTTCACTCGAGGCAAAAACCAAACCGCTGGCTGCACTGTCAGCCTTCAGCTACGTCACACCGCGAAGAAATGAGCCCAAACAAATGTCCTACTTTAACAACGAAGCGAAGGTAACACTGGTTAGCTAACAGAACCTAGCCAGTTATATTTATTACTGAGTGTTATTTAGGATAACGCTCAGTATAGATACAGTTATATTTTCAATTAACAAAATCTCCAGTTAACAAAATTGGGAATATTAACACGGGTTAATACATTAAATTGTACCTACTTAAAACTCCTTTCTTAATAAAGTTGCGTTGGTGCTTTTGAACTCCTTTTTAATTATAAACTATATAAAAACGGTTCACCACTCACCCTTTGTATATTTATACATGTATTATGTATTTGCTAGCACTCTTGCGTTCCCCTCTACTATTAACACTTACTTCTCATTGCCCAAAGTGACAAAAAAAAGCATCTCCTTCCACAACAGGAAATACTTTGAATGCTGAACTCTTTCTTCTCCACATTTAGGTCTCAGATGTGTCCATGTATGACCGATTACACAACCATGTTGAGGGTTATGATATGAGGCTCCCCCGGGATGACAGAAAACACTGGAAAGGAAGAGGACTTGACATAAATAAAGAGGTAATGGTCACGTAATGTAGTGCATACACCTCTTACGGCCGCAGAAATACGGGACATTTAACAAACATTAAGTCAACTACTGCAGACTCCAAGGACAAAAAATATGGAGTTAGTAATGAGAATAATAATTAGAATTTAAAAATGTTTCATTTTTTTCTCATTAGAGCATGATGACAGTGTTCTATTTTTCTTCTTCTGTTTCCACTGATTGTAATTGTAAAAATATAGACCTACCAGAGCCAGAAGCACATACTGCCTGACCTTTCTGAAGTCAGAGGTTCCTGGTGTTAACAGAGCTATTGAAAAAGCCAGAGACACCTTAGTGTCCTCGATAATAATGAGCATGTGTATTTCAGTTTTCCCAAAGACAACAGGGGATAGCTCATACAATTTTGGAGGGCAGCTTTCATTTCTGTCAGTGTGGGACGTAGCAATAAGAAAGAGACTAAATCGAATCTAATCAGAGGAGCAAACCACGATAGTTTCATTAAGTGCAAAAATACCTTTACTTCAACCGTCTTACTGATCAGAACAGTAGCAGGTTTAGTTATCGACCTGAAGCTGTACACTTCAAAGCAACAGATTCACTGGTCTGGTTTTGGGGCTTAAACAGTTAACAGTTAGTTGTCGTTATAGCATTGTTGTCTAATGGACACACCCTAGATGTGATGTTTTTAATAGCAAAGAGCCACAATTTTACTTAATTTGCATCTTGTAATAAAAGGTGGAAATATAGCTGTATTATAGGTAATAGTTATATTGAGGTGATAAAGCTGTCCTGGTAGCAGCAGCTCAGAAATATGTTATACAAGGTGTTCAGCTGTATGTCCAGTGAGTGGTGAAATGTGTGGTCACTAACCACAGCCACAGTCATTTTTTTCCCAATGAATTCTGTCTTAACTGATGGAGAAATCCATAAACTGTGTCTGCAGCAGCTGATGGAGGACTCCATTAGCTACATCTGTAACAGCTGTGGCGTGCTGATTTAAACAGCAACAGGAATGATGAATCCTTTCAGCAAGTAATACGGACATGTTCCAACAGCTAGCAGTTCAGTATTCATGCCACAGACACATTTCTTCTGTGCAACGCCTCCGCATTTCTTTTTACCGCTCAAATTAATGTCTCTGTTCACCTGAAAATCAGGTACAGTTACACTGTGGTCCTTATGCAATTTAAGACACAAAACCAGCTATATAAGTAACAAGCAAGGAAAAAAAATCAACTTCAGCAGGAGATAATGTTGTTTAAAAAAAGGCTGCCATGGTGCCAGAAAAAAAATAACTAAATCTAAATGATCCAAATGATTCTGATGATCCTGGTTGTTTTATTTTTGGTGTAACCAATATTGAATGGATTTCAATGTTTGGTAGAAACTGTACAACCTTTTTCCCTCAGCTGTCTCTTTTGTTTAGTGCCAATTTAGCAAATGTCATTATGCAAAGAGACTAAAAAGTAAGAGCTTGGTAAAGCTTCCTCTTGCTAAACATAAGTATAAAAATAAAATATGCAATCCTATCTGTGATATCAGTGATGGGGTTATTTTATATATGTATATATATACATATATGCATATGTGTATGTGTGTGTGACATTACCTCAATGTAACTTTGTCATATGAACATAATTGCTGTGGAAACCTCCTGCTTCATGTTTCCCTAAACGTCCTCTTTTAAAAATATGCAACTTTGTGGAAAGAGAAGTCCAACACATGCATCACAGCTAGCGCAGCTTTAACACTTCTTCCATGTGGCCATGCTGCTCCCTTCCAGGAGAGGTCCAGAACTGTGCCGGTGCTGTCCTCGTCAGAGTACGGCCGTCGTCCCGCTCCCACACTCTACTTCACAGAGAGGCAGTATGCGCGTGTAGCCTGCATTAAATCTGAAATCTACATGAAAAATGGGATCTTATGGAGTGTGGAAGAAGGATACGGATCAGTGAGACCTTCTTAAAAGTCTGACGTATCAGTGCATGAAGGTGTTTTTTTCTCACTGTGGAAACTTTAATAATAAAAAATGTTGTGCTCTGTAGATTGTTTAGTAAAAGAATGAAAGTGTAAACATTTAGCCCACTGACATAACTGTTGACTATAGTAGCAAGACAGATTTTTATTCTTAATGACTAGAAAAGACCTTTATTTTCTACGAAAGCCCACCTACATTTTCTTCTTCAATCAGCATGAATGTTTCAGTCGAGACTGAAGGGAATCATAACGTATTTCCCAGATTTAGTAGGTGAATTCTCTGTATGGCTCAAAGATTAGATTTTGTTTTCTGACTGCCTTCTTGTGTGATGTTTGTTTTTACACTCTGGGTGTCAGGAATAATGTGAATTTTTGTAATGGGATTTTGTATGGAGCAAATTTGAAAGGTTGAAGCCAGTGTTGGAGTAGCTGGCCAGTTTCTCTCAGGTACTGATCATTTGAACAACCCATTCTTTTTAAATTAGCTTCTACATCAGTGTGCGCTGCACTCTCTACATTTGATCTGTTTTTTTCTTACTGTTTTTTTTAGTTCACCTCGCCTTACATAAATACATTTTTTTTTAGCTCACTAACCTCCTCGGTTCACTAGGTTCTCAGATTCTTTTTGTGTATAAATACTAAACCCACGCAACAGAGATCAGCCTCCTACACAATAAGATTTTTTTTGAGTGCAGACAGCTCTCATTTGCTTCTGCCTTTGTACTGT